CTGCTTGTATTAATTTTAAATGCTAAATGATACTATTCATGTAATTGTCGAGCTATTAAGTTTTTTTTTATTATCAGAAAAATGATGGCAATAAAAAATAATATGAAAGAAAAATAGAGAACTAAAAAAAGACGAAAATAGTGGGAGAGAGACAAAGAGAGAGAAGGAAAAAATATTCCTTTCACTGACGAAACAGTTAAATGTAGCCTTCTATTCTACTCCAGTCTCGCATCCCCCGTCTGTGGAATTCCCTTCTTATTAACTGTTTGCCTGATAGCTATAGTCTCCAACTATTCAAATGTAATGCCAATCGTCATCTCCAGATGCCTTGATCTATTCCCTGTCTTTCTCTTCATCCTTCCATCTATCACACCTCTTTTCTCTCACTCCCATTCTGTGTAACCTTTTGTCTTCTAGTGGCATACCGCCTTGCTTGGGGTAAAATGCTCCAAAAAAAAAAAAATAAATAAATGTAGATTTTACAACTAGAGAAAGGATAAGGAAGAGAAGAAGGAAAAGTTAAAGAAAGATAAAGAACAGAAAAATGGAAAACAAAGAGATAGAGAAGAAAAAAAAATTATAAGCCCCAAGGGCCACTCGAGGAATAGGAGTTATATTAAAAAGCAGTTTATAAACATAGGAGGGAAAGATAATGGTTAGATGTAGACTTGAACAAGTTAAGACTGTAGAGATCAGGGAAACATAAATTTGGTTGTCGGTTCCACAGAGCAATGGTTGGCTGAAAAGAAGCTGTTCGAGAGGAACTTACTTCTCAGCGATGGAATACGGAAGAAATGTGGATGGTTTGCTACAATGTAAAGTGGCATGACGGATCCTAGCCATAAAGGTTACAACTGACGGGAACAAGGAATGCACTTTTCATGGAAGTAGCTATTGAGCAGTGACAGATTTGCTACATCCCGCCTGCGAGAGAGAGAGTTTGGAGGGTGGAAAATAATTCGTCACCCAAAAGAACTCAGTGACGCTTTTGAACTCTATCTAGAGTGAAATCTGAAGACTGGGTAGTTCCCGCCCAAATATGGCGACAGTACGCCATTTTAGGCCTCTTGTAAAGGTAAAGGATAGCATGAAGTGTCATGTACTTACTGGAGCGGCACAAGGAGCCGATAATTTTACCTGAAAAACAAAATGCTTTTGACAGAAATATAAAAGAAACTATTACTGATAGAAAGACCGACCCAGTCAGATATATGGAAGTTTTTTTTTTTTAATTTTTTCTATTGGTGGTTTATTCTATTCATTATAACAAGTGTTTTTAGATTGGCATTTAAAATTGTATTTTGTTTTTCGTGCATTTTAACTTCTTTACAGCGAATAAAAGGCTGAACAATATCCAAATAAGGAATCTGCAATAGTATCGGTCCTTACCTGGCATCTCGGTTTTAATCATTTTCCTACCGCCGTAATGTAGCTTTCTTGTGCATTTTCTGGAAGCAAATTCATGGTAATTATTCTGATTAGCTTTCCGCTTTTCTATCTAGACATCACGAATTTAAGCGTAGTACTTGATTGGCAGCTAGGTCTCGTTATTTTGCATTTGAAATTGTTTAATATAACCGTTGGCTGGCTGATTTTTTTTAGCGGTATATCAACCTCTCCGCCTTATTTAATGCTGAAATATAAATATTTTGAGCAAAATCTTATAGCTTCAGATAAATACACTTTGAATGCAGTTGCATGCCTTCAACTACAGATAAAATGTATAGTTGGTTATTTTGCCTTAAAATGCTGTTGTTGGTAATTTTAATATAAATATGAACTGTTGGTAATTATTTTATATAAAATATATTGCTGGTATTTTTACTATGAAAAATATTTTTAGATTTTCATAGTGTTTTGTTTTTGTTTAGGGTTCACTATTTGCCTATAGCTGAAACCCTAACAGGTGCTACCACCCCTGCTATAACCACAAGCTCTATCCTATTATGTTCTTCTTTCACATTTCTCGTCTGGAGAACACTCCTCTACCTTGTTGCTTTCCTGTGTGCAGAAATCTACAAAAAAAAAAAATGCTAATGTAACGTCGACCCTCATTTTCTGTTTCCTCGAGTCCACTTTTTTATTCTCCTTTCACTTTAGTAACGTATTCTTAATTTCCTTCTCATTCTTGCGTCTTAGTAGCTTTATCGCCATTCTGGGGTGAAATTATTTAAAAAAAAAGTCAATCATATTCTCAACTGAAATCAATAAGTATTAAAAAAAACACTGCCCTTTTATAGTATATAGATCGGCCGGTTGAGTGTACGTCCTGTCAATACTTTTTGTTGGGCTATTTATAGTAGAATTTTGTATGGTGACATCCAGTGAAGATCGAACTCGGTATTAACGATTAACCGGATTAGATTCGCTAGCCATAAACCCCATGCCAATGATAATAGATTTTGATGATCACACGTTACAAGATGTAAAGGCTTATAAAATTGGTTATTTTTAAATGCCACACAAGTATTAATATCTATCGATCTATCTAGATCTCTCTCTCTCTCTCTCTCTCTATATATATATATATATATATATATATATATATATATATATATAGAGAGAGAGAGAGGGAGAATTGGGAGAGAGAAATTTTAGGAATACGGTCAGTTGGATATTTGGATCAGGAGGGACGGTAGTATAATATATAGAGAATCGGATTGAGGAATCGGAGACCGGAGTTCCAGTCGAATCCATTATATTTACTTACGTGCTAATATCCTTGAGAAAGGTATGAATCCTCTTTTTCTCCCTCACCCCGTTATGAGTAAATAGCAGGACAGACCGGGTTCTATAGCTTTAGATGGCAACCTGGTCTACTGCAGGAAGAAATGGCAACCTACTGCGGGAAAAATCTGTTTCATCAGTCATGTATCAAAAGATACATGATCGCCTAAGCATGTATCACGCATGGCACATAACTGACTGACTCTATATTTAAAGAAAAATAGCCTATTTCGACAGAAGCTGTGGCATCTTCGAGGAAGTAACTCGTGCCGAATTCATTAACTTTTTAATAATCTTTCCCTTGGAAGCCATTTCCTTGGGAGTAATCTGGCATTAGTTTTAGTTTCGTCAATTAGAATTTCACTAGTTAAAGGTTCCAGTATATCAACTCCCCATATAAAAAGAAGGTGATTTGGAAAAGCGAAATATGGCCTCTAAAATCTAACGAAAGTATTAAGAAAGAGAAAATTTTCTTTGGCACAAAAAACGTGGGCTGAGTTGCTATGCCCTCTCAGTCCTCCTATATGGGAGTGAATACTGGATAATTTACTCAGAAATGAAGAGCCACACACTTCAATCAGTAGAGATTTGGTTCTACAAACACTGCTGATAATACAATGAATTGTGGAGCAAAAATAATCAAAAAGGAAAAGAAGTATATTTTGCGTCAGTGGGTATGCAAAACCAATGTATATGTTCGCTTTCAGGCACTAAAAAATGCTACTCAGGTACTGCAGAATATTAACTTTGCTGGTAGTACCCCATTGTGACGATCTCTGACGTAAAAGAAATCCGGCAATGGTTTAAAATCGGAGATAATAAATCCTCCATCAACCGACATCTATGAATTGAAATGAAACGAAGAAGAATGCAGGATTATATATACATTGGCTCTATCCGTGATTTTGAGAAAAATTTAGCGATAGATATAGCATATCTTGAAACTATATATATATATATATATATATATATATATATATATATATATATATAGATAGATAGATAGATAGATAGAGAGAGAGAGAGAGGGGAGGAGAGGAAGAGCAAGTTACAGTGGCCGGGAGCGTGATAGAAAAGGAAGCTACAGATTGAATTCATAGGAACCTGTCCTGTGTTTTAGTATTCAGCAACCGACATTCCTTCAACCTTTTAATTTTTCTCTTTCTATGCACTTCTTTCTCTTCTGACTTCTATTCGTATACAAATTAGATAGACAAGTATAAATAGAGAACAACTGGCGAACATCAAGTCACGGTGAACATTACGACTACTACTACTACTACTACTACTACGCAGAGAAATATGCTAAAACGTAACAGTGGAAAAAAAGGAGTTTTTATTGATAATCTTACGAGTAATATATCAAGACAATTTCGTAAGGCACATAGAAAAGAATGCTGGAATGATATGCAATATAAATTGTCCTATATGTCAGTGAATTTTGGACAATTCCCTCACATGAAGAGCAGGCTTTAGGCAACAGAAAAGTTGTTCCACAGAAGGATGATCTTGTGAACAAGGACATACTGAATGGTAATGTAAAGTAGCGAATAACCTACTTAAAACGCGTTTGTAAATGGTTGGCAGAAGTGGGATTAGAAGATTACGCAAAAAAAAAAAAAAAAAAAAAAAAACCCCAAAAAACAGACATTGCTCATACCTAAAAAGGAGGGAAAGTTCAGAAACAACACGACCGACCACATCCTGAAGAAATTTGAACATGAAAGAAGAAAATTATCTTTTTAAGGGAGATATCTCGAGTGAAATTGAGAGGAAGTTAAAGATGGTCGGAAATCCGGAATATATGATGAAGAAAGAATATGTAAAATTTGTAATTAAAAGAATATCAGGAAAAAAATAATAAAAAAAAAAAACGAGATTTTATTTCAGTTTATGGGGCCATGAAAAGTTATGGATGGATCTTTGTAAGATTTGTGAAATGGAAACCTCGGAGAAAAATAAAGAAAAAGTTTAAAAAACAAAAAAATCCCAGCAACATTATCTAAAAATTAGTGACGAACAGAAATTTATTTATTTGACGTTGCAAGCGGAATTATATGCAAAAAAAAAAAAAAGAAAAAGAAAAAAGAAGCATAACATTCTCTGCGTTATTGAAATTCAAATGGATCGGGTTTAGTCATCGAAAACACGGTGTGAATAAGTTACTGGATAGCTCTGTTGGGAGGCTTCAATATCAGTAACAATGATGACATGAATAAAAATCTCCAACGCTGACTACATGTAAACCTAGTGTTGGTGATATGCAAAAGATGTTAATGGTGGCAATGATGAAGACAATAAAAAAAGGAGAAAGAAATCGTGGGGAAAAGAGAAGGAAGATAAATAAATGAACGAGAAGGAATGAGATCGAGAGAAGAACAAACTTGAAAGGCGTAGAATAGGTGAGAAATGAAGGGAGAAATAGGAGAGGTTAGGGAGAGAAAGACGTAATAGGAATAAGCAAGAAAGTTGAGAAGAAGTAGGGAATTGGAAACGAGAGAGATGAAAAGGAGGTTATAGTTAAAATACATAGAATAAAAGGGAGAGGGACGGAGAAGGGGATAGGAAGAAATAAAGATGGAAAATAAACCGGAAATGATTATGTAGAACAGGAAGGAGAAAGAAAAAAAAGAAAAAAGATGGCTAATAAGAGAGAATGGGAAGAGAAATAGAAGATGAGAGGAAAAAAGGGAGGAAAAAAAAGAAAGAAAAAAGGTAGAGTAAAGGGAGGAGAAGAACGAGAAGTAAGATGAGAGAAAGGAAAGGGATAAAGAGTTTAAACAGTAGTAAGATTATAGTAATGAGTGGAACAAGAGGAAGTCGAAGAGACGTCGGCGAACATTAATTAAGGAGTACGAAAGGGAGGTGAGTGACAAAGGAGATGAGATTAAAGAGAACGGACCGAGGAAGATGTGAGGGAAGAAGAAAAAGGAAAAGCAAAGAGAAGAGTACAAATGTGAGATGAAAGAGGAGAGTAACAAAATCGACAGAGGATGAAGAATAGCAGAAGTAAGAAAAGAAAGACGCGCAGAGAATGAGAAAAAATGGTTGAAAGAATGTAGGTTGATAAATATTAAAACACGGGATAGCTTCCTATGAATTCGATCTGTAACTTTCTTCTCTATCCCTCTCTCGGCCACTGTAAAAGATAGTTTCAAGATATGGTATAGCAATCCGTAAATTTTCTCAAAATATACAGACATAAGTGGGGGAATGGCATAGACAGAATATGATTCCAATAACCAAAAACACTATTCTTACAGAGAGCTCAATACAGTGTAGAGCATATATATATATATATATATATATATATATATATATATATATATATATATATATGGATAGCTACTTGTTCATACATATATATATAAAATCTTTATATATATATATATATATATATATATATGTATGTGCGTGCTATATATATATACATATATAATGAAGATCTATATATATATATATATATATATAGATAGATAGATAGATAGATGGATAGATAGATATAGATATAGATAGATGAATAGATATAAACCAATATATATATATATATATATATATATATATGGATAGCTGCTTGTTCTTACATATGTATAAATATCATTGTATATATATATATATATATATATATATATATATATATATATATATACATGTGTGTGCGTATATATATATATATATATATATATATCTGCATACAAATATATATACATATATATATATATATATATATATGGGTAGCTGCTTTTCATACATATAAACACATATATAAATATCTTATATATATATATATATATATATATATATATATATATATATATATATATATATATATATATATATATCGGCATTTGTTCATTTATATATATATATATATATATATATATATATATATATATATATATATATATATATTGTTCATACATATATATATATATATATATATATATATATATATAATATATATTCATTTATATATATATATATATATATATATATATATATAATTGACATTAGCTGTTCGTTTTAACAAATGATGGCGCCCATGATGTTTCTCATCTCGTTCGTAGTTCAAAACTAATGTGTCTGGCCGCCTAATTTGACTTTGGGCGCAACAAGGCGCACGGAATGCACACTGCCTGAACCGATAAAATATGCCAGAATGACAAGCAGCATCTGACACTGTCGGGGAGCTCTTTGAGGGATCGGCTTATATGTAGCACGTCGCCAACAGTAAGGAATCTAATAAAATTTCTATCCGGGTGGTATATGAACATGTTCGTCTGCAAGAAATTGTAGAAAAGAATTTATATATATATATATATATATATATATATATATATATATATATATATACAGAGATTAAAAAAATGTGCATATTGTTTTTTGTTTTTTCGATCTGTTTGTGTGAAATAATTACGAAGAACATTAATATCAAATAAATGCGAATTCATCCGTCCGCTACGATTCTTATTCCTCTATTCACTTCAGAACGTTCGCGATCATGGCTCTCCGGAACTTCTTTTTCTTTCTTAGTAGTGTTTGCATTTTTGCTCTCCCCTACAATTCTTACTTTGCCAAACATATGTACAAACTCGTTGAATAGGCTATTCTCTGCTTTCCCATGTTCCGCTTGCCTTCTACATGTCCTGTGCGTGTTAAATTTTCCAAGCCCTTTTTTCTTTTTATGTGCCCTATGAATTTCAATTGCTTCTTTTTCATCCTAAGTATAACTGAACTTTCTGTTCATATTTTCTCAAAACCTTCGCCGTCTCTAATAATATTTGTCTATATTTCTGAGATGAGTTATTATGTACATTATTTACATTATTGGGACTATTGTCCTCATCTTTATTGCCATATTTATTACAACGTTTCGGCCGTTGTACGCTCCGGGCTTCTTCAGGTGGTTGGAATGTCGAACTGAACCCTTTATTTCGCTCACTGGGGTAGACTGTTCTAGTTCCACTTGTCATGTTTAATGGATGTCAGTTATCTCCTGTTAATTCTCCTCTCTAAATTCTCCACTGCTTTAACCGGGCCTCACACTCTTTGGGCCCTGTCACTGGATTTAACCTATGCAATGTGTCTTTGAGGACATCTGTGTATGAATTTCTTGGTATTATGAACCTGATATCTTCAGCAATCTTTTTTTTCCAGGGTTCATATTGTAAAGAGTGTGAGTTCAATACCCGGTTAAGGCAGTGTAAAACGTTCAGAGGGAAATTAACGGGAGATAACTGATAAGTGACATCCATTAGACATGGCACGTTGAACTAGAACAGTCTACTCCATTGAGCGAAATAAAGGGTTCAGTTCGACATTCCAACCACCTGGCGACAAAGATGAGGACAATAATCCAAATAATTTAAATAGTGTACGAATTGTTAGACGTGGACTCCTTCACAATCTACTCATCGGATGTCGTCGCAAAGTTGTCGCAGCTTTGAGTCATATACAGGGTGTCTATAAAGTTCGTGTGCACTTTAAAATGTTTACAGGTTTATTCATATTTGCGATAGAAATAATTTGTAAAAAGGATTAGAAAGAAGTAGATCTATCTTTTGTAAGGTTTTACGGAAATTTTATTTAAGTTTCCACATGTCCTCCATCATTAGCAATACAAAGGGTAATACGATTTTGCAGTTCACGGAAAACATTTGTCAACTGATTTACAGTAATGCTTGAAATCACATTAGTTATTTTAGCTATACTTAAAACTAGGTACATTAAACTTTATAACATTTTTTACACAATTATTTCTATCACAAATACAAATAAGGTTATAAATTTTTTAAAGTGTACATGAACTTTATGGGCACCCTGTATATATATATATATATATATATATATATATATATATATATATGTGTGTGTGTGTGTGTTGTCGCAAAGCGGTCGCAGCCTTGAGTCATATATATTGAGCCGTACATGTTGTGGCACTAACTCCGCTATCAATTATTATATTATTAATCCATGTGATTAAACGGCTTCTTCACTAATCTATTATGCCAGTGTGTTCCGTTGAGTATTATTAACCAGAAACTAAAAGCATTATCACAAGGAATATTCAACGTTCCTCGTAAAATAGAATTATAAGTTTGTTTTATTTTCTTACGTTGTTGAATATAGATTTGTCCACTTACTAGAAGTAAGATATCTACTCATAGGTAGTTGTCGGAATGTGTTGCAAAATGGTCGTAGCTTTGAATCAAACATATTACAACGCTAACTACGGTATTCGCTATGATTGTGTCATTACCCCCATGTGATTAAACAGTTTCTTCACTAATCTTTTGTCCAAGTTTTTTTCCTAGGAATATTATTAACCAGAAACTGCGAGCTTATACGAGCATTATAACAAATAGGAAAATAACGGTGAATATATAATTGTAATTTACGTTCTGAAGAAAACACCAAAAAAAATGTTCATTATGGCTCGTCTACATAAATATAAGAAACATTAGCATGGAGGATGTTTGGAACATCGGTAATTTTAAAACAAAAAAATATTCATTTTTAATCTAAATCAGTGATTCTAGAACAAAAGACAGTTAGTTCCCGAGGGAGGAATTTCAAATTTAAGGAAGGGGTGTTTAGCCAAGGAGGGAATTAGGCATTAAACAAAAGGGCGAATTTTCTAATCCATTGAAATAAGGAATTTTTCTTCTTTTTTTTTTTTTTTAATTTGATTGCAATCAATAAAGTAATTTATTTTTATAAAGTGTCTCAATAATTACCTCTTTAAAATAAAAGGATAAAAAGGAAAATTACTTGATGGAAATTCAAAATAGGGGAGGGGATGTGGAAACCTGGGACCGCAAAGGGAGGAATGCTACTTGAAATTTTCAGAAAGAAAGGATGTAATATACTTAAAATGAAAGAAAATCGAAGAAGGAAAGAAGTCGTTTTAAATTAAATCATTATCGTACGTACTTTTTTCTTCTTCAGGACATGACGCTTCACATCTGCCTATGTTGTATTGTTCTATGCAGACATCCTCTCTTGGTAAGGCCCCTGATCCGCCTTCAGAAGCTCGTCAGGTAAATATCTTTTTGCTTTCCTTTATCTCTCTTACCTTCAGTATACCCGGAAAGGGTTAAATTTTCTTCTTCATTATGTGTACAAAGAAATGTCAGTTGTCTTTTCCTGACTCTGAGTAGAAGTGTTCTTTCTGTTGCCTTTTACCTTAAGTCTTCATTAATTGCTTCGTCCAAGGAACTTTCAGAATCCTTCTGTAGAACCATATCAGAATCCTTCTGTAGAACCATATTTCTGCTGTCTCTGGTTACTTTCTTATCCGTAAGGAGATGGTCCAACATTTACTGCCTTACATAGGGTCGATATTTCATAGCATCACATCATTTTGTTTATGTTTCAAACGATTTCTTTCCGATTCTCAGTACCTCGCTTAGCTTTTCAAATGTCTTTTTCGCTAGTCCAATGCATGTTCGGATCCCATTGTCGCATTTTCCATCCTCTGTCAAAGCACTTCCTAGATTTTTGAACTTCTGCACCTTTTTGATGTTTATATCTTCAATTTGAACTTCAGTGGACTATTCTTATTGCTGATCACCATATTTCTTGGTAAATTTAAAACAAATCTTGTTTTTACCAAAATATTAAAAAAAGAAAAGTGTACTGAACTGCTATATTATATCAGTCCTCCTATATGGTAATGAATACTGGTTTGGTTTGTTTTACGGCATATCAAACATAATGGTTTATTTAATGTCGACAACATTTTTATTGTTGGCAATATTTTTCCAAAAATGTATTGCTGGTAATATTTTCTCTTCAAAAAGGTATTGCTGGAAATAATGTATTGCTGGTAATAATTATTTACAAATATGTAACGCTGGTAATAATTCTCCTTCAAAAATGTATTTCTGGTAATAGTTATTTTCTTCAAAAATGTATTGCTGGCAATAATATTTTGCTGGTAATAATTATTTACAAATATATAATGCTGGTAATATTTTTCTTTTAGTAAGTTATTTTTGGTAATAGTTATTTACTTCTAAAATGTATTGCTGATATTGAAACCTATTTTTACATCTTTATGGTGTTATGACCCCAGTTTGGGTGTTAACTGTTTGCCCATAAGTGAACACTTGGCAATTGAAATAAGACTTGAGGCAG